AACCACATGTTAGTAAACAGACAAGTGAACAGAAAGTAAAGGAATAAAGGGAAGAGTGGACAACGAGACCATTTTCAAAAGCCTGAGGTGGGAAGGGAGGAGAGACCACTTGTGGTTTGCAGGGGAAGCGGGTCCTGCAGGGGAGCTTCGCCCTGGGCTGTGGGTGAGCACAGGGGAGAGGTGCAGGGGACAGTCGGAAGACATCGGTGCCAGGTCCCAGGGGACAGGCAAGAAAGCGCGCGTGAGGACAACCCCGCTGCCCCCACCGGAAGTAAAGGACAGGCAAGGACCGGGTGCAGGTAAGAGGAGCACATGGGGTTTGCATGGCGCAGGTCTGAGGTCTCCGTTTTATTCTGCAGACACTGAGACGAGGGGTGAGGGGACGGGGAGAGCTGAAGAGCTCAAAGTCTTAGAGCAGCTCCACGGATTGGTTTCCAGGGCCCAGCATTTGCTTTGAGTGACGCCCAGAGCTTCCTACTATTTTGTGCAAGTTTCCTCACCGCCAACAGGTGAAGATTGGCACATACATACCCACACTTCCGCTTTCCCCGACTTCTCAAGCTCCAGAGCCATCCTGGTTTCTGGAATCTGTGTGCTACGACCAATGGTGCACCATGTGTGGCCAGGCCCGTGGCAGCGAGTATCGGTGAAGCTTCACAGCTTCACACCGAAGCTCCAGGCCAGGCCAGGGGAGAGAGGGAGCCAGACCCGGCCTGCACTCCATGGGCCACCACCCGGATATGACAGGGGAGCGCTCCCCCACATCACCACTGCCTCCTCCGATCCCGGAGCTGTGAGGAAAGCAATGCCCAGTTCTACCTGAAGCCCCCCCACCCTGCCCCCAAATGCTATGCGTCAGGGCCACAGGGGCGGTCTCCTGTCACTGGGCGGCTTTATGATGGACACACCTGAAAACTAGAGGGACGGGGCTGAAGCTGCTGGACCCGTCGTCCCCTCATTCCTGTTTTGTGTGAGTCTGAGCGAGTGCACTTCACCTCTAGTTGTTAGACTCTGCGCCCCCCTCTGTAAATGTGAACACTATGAGGAACAGGGCGGAGATGCCGCACTTTGCACAGCACCTGCAATGCAGTCAATGTTGAGCAAACACTGGTTATTATGACTGTCACTGACATCACTACTAGTTCTCACAGCCCTGGAAACAGGGCATTTTATTACCAAGTGGCTTGGGTTCCTGTAGGTTGACTGAGTGAACCTGCCTTCCTGTGGCTACAGCACACAGACACTCTGGTTGGTGTACCGTGAAATGAAGCCACACAGAAAAGAGCTCTGGGGGAGCCCTGGTTCTCCATGAGGTCAGGCCTGGCTGCCCCAGTTCGTGTGCTGTTGGCTCGGTGAGTGGATCCTGTGGAAACTAAAGCTACCTAGGTTGGCCCCAGAGAAGTCGGTTTTCTTTGTTCACTTGTAACGTCAGCTCCCATTTCCTGGTGTCTGCCCTAGGCAGGCACCTTTGACACAGGACTTCGGACCCAGGAAGACACCCTGTACCCCATTTTACAAGAGGAGACTAGGTTGGAGGGGAGATAAGGAATGTGGCAGACTGCACATGTTACCTGCAAAGTGAGCCTCCCCCTCCCTCATCTCCCCACAGCGCTTCTCTGCTCTGGCCGGGCACCTCGGGGACCATGGGCAGGGACCAGAAGAGGAGCCAGGCCAGGAAGGAAGCCCCGGCCCCTGCCTTCCTCTCCCAGGTGCTGTCCCTGGCCCTTCCTGGAGCACTTGCCTGGATTCTTTCAGGAACCACAGCCATCTGGAATCTAGAACCCAGGTCCGAGCCACCCGATCAGTGCTGGAGCCCTGCCCACAGTCCCCCACCCCCATGTTCATAGGCCTCCCGGGAGTCATGGCCGCCCACAACAGCCCGTCCTACCAGTGGGGAACGGTTGTGAGGACACCTTTCCCCTGCTTAGAGCTGTTTCCCCCATAACTTCTGCTTCCTAGTGCAAGTTTGGGCTCCTTAGGACACAATGGGACTTGATATGCACTTGCTCCGTGTAGCACCCACGTCGCCCACGTGCAGAGCTTCCCATGCTGCTGTGCTCTTAGACTCCCTCTGGGCCCTCGGAGTGTTTTCCACCCTCTGTGAAGGTTTCACACAGCCACCCACAGCTCTCTCTCCTTCCCCCTGTCCTACCCCTTCTCAGCTCCTCACCAGCTCCCTGTGCGTCCGCGGGTTCCTCTAGGACCATGGTCGGCAAAATGAGGCTCACAAGCCACATGCGGCTCTTTGGCCCCTTGAGTGTGGCTCTTCCACAAAATACCACATGCGGGCGCGCACGTAAAGTGCGATTGAAACTTCGTGGCCCATGTGCAGAAGTTGGTATTTTGTGGAAGAGCCAGTATTTTGTGGAAGAGCCACACTCAAGGGGCCAAAGAGCCGCATGTGGCTCGAGAGCCTATGTTTGCCGACCATGGTCCAAGAGAAGCCAGAGAAGGCCTCTGCTGCCGTTGAGCCAGCTAGCAACTGCTAGTCCAAGGGGAAGGCTGAGAGACTTCAGGATCGCCTGTGTGAACCCTTCATAGGAGGGCTACAGCACTTTGAGTGCCGAGAGCGATCCCTCGAATTCAGAAGCAAGGAAACTCTGCCCCTCAGCG